TGTCCAGTTCTTCTCGCCTTAACATGCGACACATCCTCTCGAGTCGCTCCACAGTGATCCTTCCTCTTGATGCTGACCGGGATGCTCTTCTCCGAGCTCCGGCTCTACCAGCGAACGAGGACTCTGCTCTTGAGCGCCTGATGATATCCTCGAGTGTGCGCATCTCTCGTGAAGCATTTTCTACTGTAATAGGATTTATTTCTTCCAGCTCCTCAACAGTGTTGTCGTCCAATGGTTGCTTTGATGATTCCGAAGCTGTCATGCTGTGCAGTCTGTTCCCTTTCACTTCTTATCTCTTGTTTCACGTTATTGGAGTTTATTCCAATCCAAAACGCCAAGGTCCAAAGTTATTAAAGGACTTTCTGGAGTTTTCGTCGAGTCGTTCACCGCACGCACATGGACAGTTACCGAAATACAAGGTTCGATATATCCCAGCTAGATCTACAAACTAGGGTACTATCTGATCTCCTTCGGTTCCCTGGAACTCGGAGCCTCCTTGCCTGGAGATGGGTCTTCGACTGATGGAAATCTGGCGGGCCGGTAGCAACTAGGTGCAACCGCGACAGTACTACGCACCCCACACGCTATTCAAGAACGAAATACTCTGCGAAAGCACTCTACCGTCTCAGACAGGACGCGATTAGAACATGAGCTAACTTTACATCACCTACATTATTCTGGGACGTCGCACCTGCACTTTTCGCTTTCATTTATCTGGCAATACTCACACGACTCGTCACTTTTTTGGATCATGATGGTGGAGATAAGATGATTCCCAGTGAATTGAATGCCAATCAGGTGTGCATGTGATTGCATTTGGTTGTACACACAAAAACACAGAAGACAAGTCGGAGAGAATGTGGTGCTTGTGGATCGATGCCCATGCAATGCCCCCAATATTGCGGGCTGTTTCCAGTCGCGTCTCTCTGTGGAAATTGTTGATAATCGAACTTTTTTCAAACTCCCGCCAGACCCATAACGATAAATTGATCGATTGTTGTGACAACTAATTCAGCATGTTCCGCAATATGTAGAAGGTGGCAACTCGATTGTCTTGTTATCTTTCCGTCACGAGTTCAAAACAAGACGTAACTGATCACTGGATTTTCTGATGTTAGCTAGATGTACACCAGCATGAAGACTACGAAGTATGGAAACGCACAAATCTCTACATTGAACTGCCGTTACTTGGATTCCCTTCCTTCAGTTTCCACGTTGACATAAAACGTTTCAACTTGTTCCACTGGTGGTGATCATCGTCTTCTTCCTTGCAACACCAAGCCAAACTCTTCTCACATGCTGCACTTTAGAGATATCTTTTTTGAAATCGACGCGATGCCCCAATTGAAATCTCATAATCATACCCTTACAAGGAACTCGGTTCATTGACTGTTGAAGGCCATCGCATTGAAACCCTCTTTAGCGAATGTACTTGGATCCAAACAGGTTCGTTCGTCCAATGTATTTAAAGCAGAAGAGATTGCAAGTCGCATGGGCTCTAACGCTTCGGCAAGAATCGTGATTGGCCTCTTTAACTCTTCTGCGATGAAGACGGGGGTGTCGCGGGACATATCGCAACTCCAAACAGTCTCGTAAATCTGATATGCTTCATGCTGTTCATTCTATTTCTCTCAATAGAACAACGAAATCTTGGCAGTCACCATTAAAGTGATTTCATGAGAGTCTTACCTATCGGAGTTCCTAGTGCGGCGTCTACTGTGATGATGAGAGGATCGATTGGCGCTTGGATTGTAACACCATCAAGAAAAACACTCTGCGTACACACAACAATAATCAAGCAAAACAATGATCAAAACAAAGAAGTACAGGAAAGGAAAAATGACACCAACCGTTATAGTCTTCACTTCCCCTAAGGAGCAAAGCTTGGCAGTCTGAAGCTCATTGATTTTAAATCAAAGAAAGTTTAATTTGAGGGAATAGCAATTGTTACCTGTTGGCAGCTGACTGAGAATACGAGCAACTTGGCCAAGCGGTCACCCCCCCGATCGTCCGACCCCATGACTTCAGTTGATGGGGCTGAAAACAGAAAAAATGCATAGAAGAGAGAAACGCTCACATACCAGTAAGTAAAACAATCCCATTTTTATCTGAAACAAGAATCTCTTGCACACCAGAAAAACTATTAAGAGATTATCACAAGAAGAGACTGTTTGAATCCGCTCTCCCGTTCACTGTTTTTCTGGAAGACGCACCTTGCAAGTGCTTTGTGCAGAAATGCGTGGATTCCTAACCCTCTTTTTTTCCATTGTCGCAAATTGTCCTATTGTTTTGTGTTAATTAGTCCCCAGTAGCGCAATTATTGATTTCTAGGGTTCAATTTTTGTTTTTTTCGCGTTGTAAAATTGATTGTATTGTTGACTCTAATTGAGGTAAACTGAGTCCCAAGCTCCCTTGGATGATCCTGGCAATAGAGAGTGTGTCCTTGGGAGAAGCTCCTTTGACCCAAATCCTGATAAAAAGAGAAGCGAAAATACAGAAGATTTATTCCTATCGGATGATGGAGTGATTTATCGTTAATTATCAAATTATAGAATGATTTATCGTCAATTATCGAATTATAGAATGATTTATCGTCAATTGTCGAATTATAGAGTGAATTATTGATGATGATATCCTTAAAAGTATCGATTCTGAAAACTCTTCATTGACGCACCTTCCATTAATTCCGACCGCAATTTCATACGAGAGAAGCTCGCCAAGTCTTTCTAAAACGTAATGTCTCGCCCCTTGAAGACTGAAACAACATTGACAAATAGAAACGCAGCGAAACATAAAACCATTTCTGGATTCAAGTCAATAAAACAACTCATAAAACAACTCATAAAACAACTCATAAAACAACTCATAAAACAACTCATAAAACAACTTATAAAACAACTCATAAAACAACTCATAAAACAACTCATAAAACAACTCATAAAACAACTCATAAAACAACTCATAAAACAACTCATAAAACAACTCAGCAGTCAATCATAGACGACGGTTGTCGTTCCAATCCATCCCACCTGTTCTCACCTGAGAGCGTGAATTATAGGAACATCGAAGTAAAATCCCTCGTCGGGGGGAAGTTCACCAAGATATACTTCTTTGCTTGACCAATTGCGAGGATCATTCGGAACTTCGCACGTCACGTCGCATGAGTCATTCAATCCCAACGAATGAACACACGGAACACACGCACACGGATAGATTTCCTGCGATGGGTCTCGCTTATTTGGGTCGGAGCATCCTGTCCACGCCACGCGACAAACAACGACGCTTCCGAGTTGTAATTTTGGGCGATTCAGTTTTGTCGCATTATTGAATGCGACTGCCGAGAGATTTGCCTCAAACGGAGCGTTAATATCCAGCTGCAATAAAGACAGTGTCCCAATGGATGATGGAAGTGATTGAAAACGTACTCTGTAGCCCTCAGCGAAAGAGTAGACAACGACTCCAACGATGATATCGTCAACCTTCGGAAAGTACTGCAAGGAAGAGAAAAAGTGGAGAGTCGAGAATATACAAAGTCGACAAATCGAGAATATACAAAGTCGACAAATCGAGAATATACAAAGTCGACAAATCGAGAATATACAAAGTCGACAAATCGAGAATATACAAAGTCGACAAATCGAGAATATACAAAGTCGAGAATACACTCACCAATCGTGGATGTGAGAAACACTGTTTCTTCAAAGGCGGAAAGGGAAGACGAGCTTGGATTGATGGAATGGTTGCGTGATGCTGGAGCGGACATGATGAAGACGCTAAGTCTCCGGGCAACAAAATCATTGGGTGCGACTGTCCTGGTGCGTCTACTGTTCCGAAAAAAAACCCAAAAACGTCACCGCACTATGCTTCCAAGTGTTCATCACCCGACAAAGCAGCATCACTATCGTCTTGATTACTTGAGAGAAGAGTCTCTTCTTCGCCATCTGTTGATCCATCCATATTTTTGGGTTCATCAGAATGTTCTTTCAATTTCTTATTGACACATAGAAGTTGTTTAACATCTTTTCCTTCTCGTAACTTTTGTCTGTATTGTTGATCTAGAACTGTTGTCAGTCGACCATAAAGCTTCCCCATCGCAGCATGATGACGCATCGTTTCATGAGCTTTTGACTCGAGGGGCTTCAGTTCCTAAAATAAGAAGGCAGTGGGGATTGGGACACAATAAGACACACTAATAAGGCAGTGGGGATTGGGACACAATAAGACACACTAATAAGGCAGTGGGGATTGGGACACAATAATAAGGGCATTGGGACATGTATTGGGACATGGAACACATTCTCAAGACTTTCCTACTTGTTTGAATTCAATCGCTAGAACTTCTTGAGGAAACAGTCGAACAATTTCTTTAACCCAAACTTGACGATGGCTTGGGACTACAGATTGGAAGATGAGGCCAGTCCTACGATTAAACATTGATTGTCGTTTCTTTCAATGGCATTGATGGAGGCAGACTTACATGAGTCTGTTGTCCAGAAGACGACGGAGGGCTATACGGGCCTGTTCTGCAGTGAGGCGTCTAACAGTTGGTCTGACGAGAGGCCTTAGTGTAGTCCGTTGAATGTGAACTAAATGGAGCAAACCGTCAAGGCTATCCTCGGGCTTGTCCAAAGCTTCGACTAAAGACCTAGGGGACAAATGCCAGACCGCAAATATAAAAAATAGAACCTACCGATACAATGCATCTGCAGTTTTTATTTCCTTTTTTTCGTCTAATTTTTTCTGGAAGTCTTCCGCCAATAGTTTTAGCCTCTTCACGCCTTGCTGAAACACATCTGCCTCGTCGAGCGTCCCTTGGACCCCATTTAATTCCAAAGCAGCGTTTTCGATGGACACCCTCCTTCGCTTCTGCCGCTTGGGATCCATTCGAGGAACCAGCACTTGCAAAGGTTCTTTTTACAACTCACCAGACCACACAGACTCAGGTTCAGTCCCACTGCTTCTGGCACATTCTGTCTAAAGGTGAATTATTTTCCACTAGCATGAGATCTTCTTCTCGACCGTTTGATGAACGCAAGCGTCGAAGAGGTTACAATGAGGATGTCGAAGATGGTGAAATCAGTATGTGTTTTTAGAGGAAATAGAAAGAAAAAAAATATTGGCTATTTGTTGTCATTGCAGTTGACGGACGAACAAACGCCGATTCAAGCTCTAAAAAGCACTGCCATGATGTGAGTGGTCGTTTGATCAATGAATCGAGAACACGTCATTCAAGGACCGATGACAGCCGCAGTAGGCATCGCAGACATTCGGGGTCCGTTGAGAGGGTTTCAAGCCGCCGTCATTATAAGGAATCCAGCGGGCACCACCGTAGAAGTGATCGGTACGATGGTGTTCCTTCGCGCTCCTCTCGTGATTATCATCTTGAATCAAGTCCACATAAACGCGATGCAGATTATCGTCGTCGCGCTGAGGGAAATAAACGTCCCCACCGTAGAAATGAGTCGGTTTCTCGAAATGAACGAAAGAAGGAATCGGAAGGGTCGAAAGAGAGAAGAGACCCATTAATAGAAACATGCAGGAATGGCGTACGTGATGTAAGTCCTGCCAGTGAGGTGCAGGAGGAGTTTTCAAAGAAGCGGCCACGCATTTCAACACACGAAGAACTTGAAATTGGTGATCAGCACGAAGAAGATCCCGAAGAGTTTCTTGAAGCTGCTCGACGACGACGTGAAGCTGTTCTAGCAAAATATCGGCAAAAGGAAACCATTTCAAATTCATCTGTTAATCCAGTTGAATCCTCCAGTCTTAGTGCTTCGTCACCCAATCCCCAATCGTCAACAGTATCTTGTGTGAGAAGTGAAGGAAGTTTTCAGACTTCGGCGGCACGGTTAGACAACGAGGTATTGGCGGCTGAAGAGGAAGCATTGTTTTTAGCTGCAGCTGCTGATGTTCCTGATGATGAGGAGGATGATGACAGTGTGTCTAAGGAACGAGCGTCGGAAGCGAACAGTCCCAGAATCGATAAAATTAGCCCTCAATCATCGACTGTGGATGTCGCATCTCTAGAAGTTCCCAAGACAATCAGTTTGGTATGTCGATCTGTTTTGTATCATTGCAATGTTTTTGTTCAGGCGTTGAAAGACGGCTTAGTAGAATTGAAGCAGAGGGTCCAAGAGGATAAAAGACGTCTCCGTCAGTTTATTATCATGCAGAGAGAGGAACAGGATCGTAAACGCCATGAGGCAGAGGATGTCTCCACAGAGGCGGTGGGTTGTTGGATTATTTTGAATGATTGTGTTGGATGGTGTTGGATTGTGTTGGATGCTGTTGGATGCTGTTGGATGGTGTTGCTTGCTGATTTCATGGTGTTTGATACGTAGTATATTCACTCCATGAAGATGTTTGATTGTTCCGTCGTGTTTGAAAATCAATTTTTTTTCAGAGTGGGGGAATTGATGAGGAAGAAGAAGAAGAAGAGGATGATGATGTTGATATGTTTTCGATAACAGATCAGAGACAAAATGTTAAGAAAAAAGCCAGACGACGACCCAAAAATGAATCAGCAAAATTGATTGATACGAGTGTGAACTTAGCAGAGAACTGGGATGACGCTGAAGGCTATTACATGGTGAGATATTGGATTCCACTTTGGGACATAATCTGGACTCGACTTTGGGACATGAATTGGAACGAATATGGGGCATGCATTCGTTTTTGTTTCTTCAGGCGTCTATTGGGGAAGAACTCGACAGTGGCAGGTATCGCGTATTAGCTGATTTGAGTGGCAAAGGAGTCTTTTCAACTGTTGTGAAGTGCTACGATAGCGAAACGCAGTAAGTTCTGATTAGTAGAACGTTTGATGTCTATTCAAATCTATCTGCTCTTGGTGGCGCGATCGCATTTAATTCCTCTCATTTATGTCTTGCAGTGGAACTGTTGCAATTAAAATTATTCGAAACAATGAAATGATGAAGCGTGCTGCGGAGAAAGAAGCTGATATTCTGGAGCGATTGAATCGATCCGATAAGGAGGATCGTCGCCATGTGGTTCGCCTTCAAAGAACATTTGAATTTAGGGGCCACATCTGTTTAGTGTTTGAATGGCTATGGGGAAATTTACGTGTTGCATTGAAGAAGTATGGTGGAACTGGGAGAGGGTTAAATCCTCAGGCTGTTTACTCTTATTCCAAGCAACTCTTCATTGGATTGCGACATTTGAAGAAGAATGGCGTTCTTCACGCTGACCGTAAGTCAATCTAGTAGTTTTGATGAGTGGAGCAGTTTTGATGAGCAGTTTTGATGAGCAGTTTTGATGAGCAGTTTTGATCATATTTGCGACGCAATGGCGTAAACGGAATTATAAATCCTTTTCTCTTTCAGTGAAACCAGACAATATTCTGATCAATGAAAAATTTGCTGTATTAAAAATTTGTGATCTAGGAAGTGCATTCGATGTTTCTGAAAACGAGGTGACGTCCTATCTCGTCTCTAGATTTTATCGTGCACCTGAAATCATTCTTGGCTGTCGGTATGATCCAGCTATCGACGTATGGAGTGCAGCGTGCACAATTTATGAAATTGCCACTGGGGATGTCTTGTTTCCCGTAAGCTTGATGCCTTTTTGGAATGTTTTTGTCAGCTTCTTCAATTTTTCCAGGGTCGGTCAAATAATGACATGCTAAAGCTATTCATGGATGCAAAAGGAAGACTTCCTAGCAAACTCGTTCGTGCAGGACAACTTTCTGAGAAACATTTCGATAGCAATCAAGACTTTCTTTGGATTGATCAGGATTCCTACACCAAACAGGTCAATTTCACTTGATGCTATATCGCACCTCATCTTTTGTTTTTTCACTTGATCCAGGATATTGTTCGTCGTCTTGCTGATTATCGTCAAACAAAAAACGTTACAGATCTTTTATTGGCAAAACATCCTCAATGCTCAGGTATTGGAAATGATACAAACGTGTGACCGTTTTTTTTCCTTATGTTTGTTCAGGATCTTCACAAAAGTCTCAAACTCTCAGAAATAAAGTTCGTCAACTTGGCGATTTTCTCGACAAGTGCTTGGTGCTGGACCCCGCTAAACGTCTCACTCCCGACGAAGCCCTGCGGCACCCCTATCTTGCACAGCCACTGGCCCTCGAGACACATAAGTAAACCTTCCCAATTTTTTTTCCTCAAACACGTCACGCGTCGATTTTTACTTCTCTTACTTCGTTCCGGCCTGCATGTAGCGTCTCCTAACAACACTGACATTTGGTTGTTACAATGGTTCACCGAAATGGAAATTTTGCAAAATTCAAAGCCAATTATTTGTTCGTCGATATCGCAAATCGTCGGAAAGCCTTTTGTGATGCCAATCCAACTGCCAAACTCATCAGCCTAGGAATTGGTGATACGACCGAACCTCTTCCGTCACCTATTATTGATGGATTTATTCGGAAGGCTCAGGACCTGTCAACAGCGGAGCGTTATTCTGGTTATCCCGATTACAATGGGTCTGCAAAATTAAGACAATTGTAAGCATTTTACTCAAATTTGTAAACCTTTTTTTTATCTTCAGAATTGCTGACACATTTTATTCAAATCTTGAAATCCATCCAGATGAAATTTTCATTTCGGACGGCTCGAAGCCAGATTTAGCGCGAATTCAGCTTTTGTTTGGACCTCAAACAACAATCGCTGTTCAGGATCCAGTGTATCCTGCTTATGTGGACGGTGCTGTTATTTCGGGCAAAGCTGGAGATTACAATGAGAGTGAAGGCCGTTACTCAAGCATCGTTTACATGTCATGTACTCCAGAAAATGGATTCTTTCCCGATTTGTCCAAAGTCAAGCGCACACATCTTATTTATTTCTGTTCGCCAAACAATCCCACCGGAATGGCAGCAACAAAGTCTCAATTAGAAGAGCTTGTCCGATTTGCAGAAAACAATAACTCGTTCATTATATTTGATGCAGCTTACAGGTAAGATGAATATGTAACAATTACAATTGTAGTTCAAAGTCGTATTGAGTAAACTGCTATCACTACATGCATGATATTATATAATATTGAACACTCCATTTTTTTCCAAGACAATAGAATACATAATATCTATAATTTTAAACATCATCAATATATAAGCCTTTTAGGACAGTGAATAAGAACGTGTTGTCAGTCAGTTTACTGGTTCTCCACCTTCTTTCATTCTCCGTGTCAGTGAATATATTCAGGATCCTGATGTTCCACATTCTATTTACTCAATTGAGGGAAGTAAACGAGTTGCTTTCGAAACGCAAAGCTTTTCCAAATTGATTGGTTTCACGGGAGTTAGATTAGGGTGGACTGTTTGTCCTCGAAAGCTCGAATATGAAGGAGGAACTCCTGTTTGGGATGATTGGGCGAGGTACCTTGCAATTGTTTGATCAATGTTTAATGATGATCTCTTAATTCCTAGAATTATGGGCACGTGCTTTAATGGTCCCAGTAATCTCGCTGAAGAAGGAGGAATCGCAACTCTTTCTCCTGAAGGTCTTCGTGGAATGCGTGAGATGACTTCATTCTATCTGGAGAATGCAACGATCATTCGAGAAGCAATGGAACGATTAGGCTTCTCATGTTATGGAGGGAGGAATAGTCCCTATATTTGGGTCCGAGTGAGTATTTATCCCATTTTTTTTCCATGTCGCAATACCCCCCATATCCCAACATCATTTGTCCCTTTATCCCAACACCACCACGTACGGGTTGTCGTTTTCTCAGATTCCTGGTAAGGATTCGTGGGCTGCCTTCCAAGAACTTCTCGAAAAGGCGCACGTCGTTACGACACCAGGGGTTGGATTCGGAAGGGAAGGCGCGGGGTTCATCCGTATTTCTGGATTCGCACATAGACAGGACGTTCTTGAAGCAGTTGCTCGAATTACAAAAGCTCTTTCAAACTAATTATAACTAAATTAGCAAGACCAAAACGAACAAAACCTGTGAAAAACGAACAAAACTTGCGGAGACCAAAAAAAGATGCAAAAACAAACTTCCAAACCATGAAACTATTGGATCTGACATCGAAAGCATTTCAATTGGATACAACTTCACCATTTCTATGAACTCCAAACCTCCTCTATAATTTTTCTATTTGAGACCATCCAGTCCATCCGAGATCGTCCAACAGCGTCGCAAATGGCGCTCTTTGCTGCGGAACCCATTGCAGTCCCTCCACAAATGAAAACTGTTCCGTCGTCGTCAACAAGAAGTTGCTTGAGAAGGCAGCTTTGCTCACGTAAACGATCTTGAACATAAATTTTCTTTGATTGCTCTCTTGAAAAAGCGGTAAAGAAATGCGAAATGATTGCTGGACGACTCGCAGTTGGATGACAGAAACTCTCAATTTCTTCCTTGTATAGAAAATCGACTTGAGAATCCGTACAACCGAAAAAAAGGACAACAGATGAGGGGAAGGATCCCATGTCGGACGCGGAGTTCTTCATGTACGCCAAGTCTTTCAGAAATCCACGGAATGGTGCAATTCCAGTTCCTGCGCCAATCATGATGATTGGATTGGAAGACTTGGGAAGGCGGAATGTTGAAGGGATGATTCGAGCGAGTAAACGATGATGGGATGATGAATTGGGATCATCAGTTCTAGAGCAGAGATCCTTCGAACAAACACCTTCGAAGATACGAGGAATGGGAGTTGAAAGAGGAGTGGATATTGTTTGGTATCCTAAAGATTTCAAAAGTACTTGTACTTCTTTCAAATCAGGAATTTCCTGGAAGAGAACAGCGTATGAAGAGATCCGAAGTAGATGAAGACACTTACGTTTGACATAACCAGGGAAACAGTGATCGAAACACTCGACGGAGTTTCGAGTGATGATGATGATATTGTATATGCCCGGGGCGCCAAGCGAGGGAGTGAGAAGAGTGCGGAGAGGAGATCTTCTTCAGTTTGAGAAAAAACTGCAGAAGTCATGAAGATCTCTAAACAATTTTTAAGAGAGAGCATTGGCTTTCGAATACATTGAATGCAGTCATTGAGATGGTCATCACTCAACAGTCGATGAAGAATACGCCGTTCTTCAGAAGAGCGTACAAAGCACGAAAGACTTCGAAGAGTGTCTCTGGATGGACA